TATGCTATGCAACAAACAAAATGCAACAAACATATGCACACACAATTCGATCATCCACGAACAGGCGAGAATTCGTTTTTATCACGAGGTAGGGTTTTCCTGCAGAAAAGTGCATTGGCGAGGGTTGGTTCTAACTGTTCTCACCAGGCTAAGGCCCTCAAGGTGCCCCCATTATAGGGTCCCCACTCTCCAGCCGTCCGACCATGCTTAGCACTAAGGCCATAGTCAGTCTTGTTGCCAAAAGAGGAAGGTTATCACCTTGAGTGGTGGTTTCCGATCACACTGGTGGGCTCAAGGCCCTCACTACAGCGAACCGTACCTGCCACCCACTCCCTATGGATTTCTCACTTGCCCCCGGGTATAGAGGGAACTGTAGTGTGCAAGGGTTTGTGCACAGTTTGTATTTCACACAATTGCGTAAGTATAAACAAGCAACAATTATTAAAGCCAAACCGTAAAACATGTTATAATACAAGTTAAGGGCAAAAGCGTTATTTTCTTGGTTTATTTATTTTTAAGCCGGCCCATCACTAAATGGGATCAAATCTCGAGGTTTCCCCAACGGAGTTGCCATCTGTCGCCGCCACCAAAAACGAGGGGCGGTTGGAGCGACGCGATGGTTTCGACCCTCCTGTTTTCGTGTTTTTTGTTGGTGGTTACAACGCCTTTAGGTTGTCCGATAACCGGGCTGAACCTAGGGGCGAGGTTTTCGAAAAGGCGCTCTTGGATTGTCCGATGACCGGGCTAATCCAAGAGCTAGTTTTGAAAGGGTTCTGTGGAGTCGCCACCGATGTTTTTACCGGAAACATCGGAAAAGGAGTTAAAAGGGCATTGGTTTTCGAAAAACCAACTTTGGTCATTAGAACCAGAGTTGAGTACGGGAGTTAGTTACGTGTAAAGGAAGTGTTAGTTCCTTTACGACGCTCCTTTCGGGTTCCCTATGATAGGTCATCTATTTTGTTAATAAATGAACTGGAAAAACACGCTTTTGCCCTTTTATTTGCGGAATTAAAATATTATGACTACATGGCCCTATCTATTGCGTAATTTAAATAAAGCGGTAAAAGTGGAGAGGGAGAATGTAAACCTCTGAAGCACGCTTCTTCTATTAATTCTTTTTAAAAAGAGGGTGCTTTGTGGCAACCCTTCACTCTACAGCGCCGGAAACCTCTCGAAATGCTCAGAAATCACTCTAAAGACACTCAGAAGCTCCAGAAATGCGTCGGAGGGATTCTAGAGAGAGAAATACTAGAGAGAGGGAGGAGAGAATGCTGTGTGGTCTCCGGAAATGAGGGGAGGGAGCCCCTATTTATAGGTTTTCACGCCTGACAGTGGCGAGACCGCCGTTCTCGTCTGACAGGGTCGAGACCGCCGTCTCGCCAAACGAGACCGCCGTCTCGTCCTTCGCAGGTTGTGAGACCACCGTCTGGGAAAGCGAGACCGCCGTCTCGTTTGGCGAGATGGCGGTCTCGCCATTTGCATGAGGCGAGACGGCGGTCTCGATTTCGAGACGGCGGTCTCGTCCCAAAAAAGGCGAGAAACCTTATTTTTGTGCCGAGAATCCTTCCTATCCTAGTATGGGGCCTAATAGTCTCTCCTAGTGGCTTTTTAGGCTTCATCCATCTTCGAATAGGAGGTCTTCTACTCTTTATTTGGAGGCCGGACAAGATTTGGGGTCTACAAGTTCGGGTTGGTGAACTTATTTTTCCTGCTGATTTCTATGTGCTTGATATGGAGTAGGGATTCTCCCATGGATCTGTCCCAATCATTTTAGGCAGACCATTTTTGAAAACAACTCGAACCAAGATTGATGTGTATGATGGTACATTGTCCATGGAATTTGGTGATATTATTGTCCATTTCAATATTCTGGATGCCATGAAACATCCATCTGAGTGACATTCTATTTTTCGTGTTAAGATCATTGATGATGTTATTGATGAGTATGTTTCTGATTTTCATTCCTTACATACTAGGAAACATTGTTTTCTTTCTGATCTGTATACTTCTTTTACATGCACCGAATCCGAATCTGATTTTGATATTGACATTGATCTTCATTCTAATCCTGAGTTATATTCTGAATTTAAATCTGATCATATGTCTAATGTTTTGGGTGTTGTACCTCCTATGAATATAAGTTCTTTAGAGTCAGAATACACTAACCATGTTGCAGGAAGTATACATGAATCTAACTTGCAGGTTGAGGTACAGACTGTGGAACCCATTCTTCTTCCCTCTCTGGTTCCTTCTGTTCAGCCAACACCCACTCCAGAACTAAAGACTTTACCAGAAAACCTCAAGTACACTTATTTGGAGGATGATGAGAAGTTTCCAGTGATCATTTCCACCTCCCTTGATGTTGTTCAAGTGGAGAAACTGTTGCATGTTCTGAAAAGGCATAAGAAAGCCATCGGCTGGACCCTGGCGGACATTCCTGGTATCAGCCCATCCACATGCATGCGTAGGATATTATTGGAGGATGGAGCCAAACCAGTGAGACAGCCACAGAGACGACTCAACCCCGTGATTTTGGATGTTGTGAAGAAGGAGGTGACCAAGCTTCTTCAGGCTGGGATCATCTATCCTATATCAGATAGTTAGTGGGTGAGTCCAGTCCAGGTGGTCCCCAAGAAGATAGGCCTCACTGTTGTGAAGAATGAGAGGGATGAGATCATTCCCACCAGAATACAAAACAGTTGGAGGGTCTGTATCGACTACCAAAGGCTCAATCAGGCAACACGGAAGGATCATTTTCCTCTGCCTTTCATTGACCAGATGCTTGAGCATCTAGCAGGTAAATCTCATTACTGCTTTCTGGATGGTTTCTCTGGTTATTTTCAGATCCATATTACTCCTGATGATCAGGAGAAAACCACATTCACCTGCCCCTTTGACACTTTTGCCTATAGGAGAATGCCTTTTGGCCTATGCAATGTCCCTGGTACCTTCCAGCGGTGTATGCTTAGTATCTTTTTAGATTTCCTTGAAAATTGTATATAGGTGTTTATGGATGATTTCACTGTGTATGGATCCTCGTTTGATGCATGCTTAGATAATTTGGATAGAGTGCTTAATAGATGCATTGAAACTAATCTTGTTCTGAATTTTGAAAAATGTCATTTCATGGTAGAACAGGGTATAGTTTTAGGGCATATCATTTCTAGTAAGGGCATAGAAGTGGATCCTGCAAAAATCTCTGTTATTTCACAATTTCCTTACCCCTATTATGTGCGACAGGTTCGATCTTTCCTTGGCCATGCAGGTTTCTACAGGCGGTTCATTAGAGACTTCAGTAAGAAGACCCTTCCACTATCCAATCTGCTTCAGAAAGATATTGAATTTGATTTTGATGACAGGTGCAAAAAGGCATTTGACTGCCTCAAGGAAGCATTGACCACCACTCCTATCATCCAGGCACCTGACTGGACAGTCCCATTTGAGTTGATGTGTGATGCATCTAATTATGCATTGGGGGCTGTCCTAGCACAGAGAGTTGATAAGTTGCCTCAGGTAATATATTATGCTTCCAGTGTTAGAAAAGTAGGTTGAGATCAAGAGGAGGGGTGAATTGATCTTTGAAAGATTTTCGCAATTAACAGATTATCTATTTGTAAAAATAAGATTTCAGATCTGTTCTTGAATCATAAAGCAATCAATCAACAATAAACGCAGTAACAGAATTAAAAGAGGAGAAAGGTTTAGAAAGATATCACCGGTATTTATACTGGTTCACCCAATACCAGGGCTACATCCAGTCTCCAGCCAAATTCCAGCTGGGTTCCACTAGATCAAATGTTTTACAGATTACAATCTTACACTTAATCTACCACAAGAACCACAATTCCAGTTCCTGCACCTAACCTTTCACCAAGAACCAAATTCCAGTTCTTGATAACCTCTACAACCAAATTCCAGCTGCAGAGAAACCGGTGCCCACAATTCCAGGCACCAAACAATACAGTAAAAGAATGAAAAGAAATGAAAAGAAGAAACTAGAGTGCTCAAACCAGTTTTATGCAATTCTGCAGTAAGTGTTTCTTCTCCAAAAGAAAGCAATTTTCCTCAAGAAAGAATTTCAAAGAACTTCACAAAAACTAGCGCAAATCTTTCTTGAAAGAGTATTAAAGTTTGCTTGCTTGATTGCTAAAGGATGTGTAAAAGATTGATATTCGATGATGTTTAAAAAGTTCAAGCCAATCTATTTTTATAGAAGATTTTCAAAACTGCTGGTTTAATCAATCTGTTAAAAAATCTTTTAATCTGTTAAAAGTGTAGTTTTAATCTATTAAAACTTTTTTTAATCCATTAAAACGTTCTTGATTCTTTAACAGATTTGTTTTAACTGATATGACAACGTTTATATCAATTAAAACTCTTTACAAAAAATCTTCTAATTTGTTTTAATCGATTGTTTCGTGATTCAATCGATTAAAATACTGCAAAACTTTATTGTGAGTTTTTCCAAGTGATTTTAACTGATAAAAATAAGTTTTAATCGATTAAAACGCTGTGTAGAAATTTTCTAAGTTGTTTTAATCGATTGAAACGTGTTTTAATCGATTGAAAAAGCTCTGATCGGTCATAACTCAATTCTGATCGATCATATCTGATTCTGATCGGTCATAATTTCATTCTGATCGATCATCCTGAACACTAAGTGGATTTAATCGATTAAAACCAAGTTGTATCGATTAAAATACTGCAAAAACACTTCTCTTAACATTTTAAGTGATTTTAATCGGTTATTTCGAAGCTTTATCAGTTAAAATACTTGACATAAGGTTTTCAAAACTTTCTTTAATGAAAACAA